AGCCAATGAAGAAGACAGTGCAGGGACAAGTTGAAAATTAACTCCTGGGCCGGCTCCACCTCTTAACCAGCAAAGGGTGCTCTCAAAATTATTTATAAAGAAGCCTGGGCACCATCAGTGGGGCTCTGCATCCACGTGGGATTGATTCTCTGCGGTGCTGATGGGCTGTTAGGCTGCGGGAGGCTCTGCTGAGGGAGCAGTGAAGGTCTGGAGTGCCCTGGCGGCGATGAGTGGGGTGAAGGTGAGAGCCCTGGGGCGTCTCTCCAAGCTGCTGAAAACCCTCCGGGCTGTGCCAGCACGGCCCTGCAGCCTGGCTGCCTGCTCCCGGAAAAACACCAGGAACGCTGCCTGTAAGTCACCGCTTCTCCTCCAAATCGGTGAAAAATGGGAGAGGCTGGGCTGGGAAGGGAGGTGGTGGGGTTGAGTGTTGTTCTTATTTGCTAGTGAATTAAAAAGGGGGATTTGGGAATGTGGCTGAAAGATTGAAGGAAAAAGAGTGGCTAGAATGGAAGAAGTGAAAATACTTTGTGAAATTTCAGGGTTCCACCTTGTTCTTTATTTCTGCTGTCAGTGGCACTGGGATTTTTGTGACTCCAACCTGTGACAAAAAGCAATCGTTACTTGGGAGGCTTGGCTGCTTTCAATGAAAACCGTTCATGAGCATAATTCAAAACACATTTAGCACAAATTGATTCTGACTTGGAATTTCATAGCCACTGCAATGTTTGATTTGGAAAATGAGGCCTAGAACAAGCCACAAACCCCTCCAAATGTGCTGTACAGACCTCCAATAATTCACTTTGAAGTGCAAGATACTCCTGGAGGATGTTAAGGATTTAGTTATTTAAAATACTGATTAACTTGCTTTCAGATAATATGGGGCCAGCCAGAGATTGTGTCTACTCACTGCTGTGCAGATAATGTCAGCTGGAGAATAGCAAAGAGTAAATTCTTACAGCTAGAAAAACCTTTTTTTTTCTTATTTTTTTCCTCTGTAAATTTGTTCAGCATAATAACTTCTGCCAAAGAACAGAGCTGGGTTCCTCCTCGAACATTTCATGGTTACCCAGGGTAAGAGGGGATCCCATTCCAAGGAGAAATCAGTTTGTTCTGTCCAAGCACCACTGCTGACTGAATGAGCCACAACTGGTAGTTATTTTTATTCACATTCCTCTTCTCATTTTGAGCTAGATACTGTTGACTCCTTCAACCTTTCTCTCCTCTGTGCCATTCGTGCAGGAAATGCCAAAACAAACTGATTTGGGAAATCCCTGTCTTTGGAATGGCTGGTTTTGGCAGGCAGGGAGCGGACAGGAGCTCTGAGTGAGGCAGCCTGGGGGTTACTCCACAGTTACACCAGGTTTAAACAACTCAGAGGCTGACAGTTTCTGCAGCTTTTGGATTCCCCTTGTTGACCCTGCAAGGACAAAGGGCTTTTCCTGCACTTCACTGTAGAAACACTGGGGAGAATTGTGGCATGGATGTCAAAATTCCCAGTGGTGTGGAGGACCAGGGAGTGTCTGTGCCAAGCTCTGAGGTATCTTGCAATGACACCTGGAGGGTTTGGACATTCATTTTTTAGAATAATTGCTGGAAATGCTCTCCATGGGGATTTTTATGCCCAATTTAGTAATTATTAGCAGAGCAGGTCTGAAAGGAATTTTTCCTTTCTTGCCCTTTTAGAAGTAGTTACAAGAAAAGCAGAATCCTTCAAGTTTTGGGTTTTTTTTTTCCCCCAAAGAATTGTACAAGTCCTGCAGAGCCACACAATCCAGGTGTGCCATCTCCAGGCCTGCACATATAACTGCACTGCCTCCCCAAATTGTCCAGGAGTTTTCTTCCAAGCCCTTTCCACGCCGAGTTCCTAAGCCTGCATGCATAATTTCAGCAATTTTTTTTTTATACAGGAGTAGATAAAGCCTCTGTTTGCTTTACCTCGCCAGCTGGAATTACCTCCCCCTTATCTGGGCTCAGCCACTGCCTCCTCAGCCAGGCTCCTATCTCAGCCAAACACTGTGGAGGCAGAGGAAAACCCAGCATTTCCCAATCTGCAGTGCTCCCCTGTCGAGCTGGGAGCACCCTGTCAGCTACATCTGTTTGATAAAAAGCTCTGGGCTGTTTATCAATAAACTGGCCTAAATCACAGCCCCCATCTGACATCAATTCAGCAGAACTTTCAGCACCTTGTCATGGTGGGCCTGAGCCAAGCAGCGCTGTTATCCTCCAAAATCTTGATTCAGACCAAAAAAGCTTCAAGGAAATCAACCTATCTTGGATTTCCTCTGCAATATTTGGTCCCAGTGGCTGAAGCAGAACTGTGGCCCTTTAAAGTTTAAAACGGTTTTTTACTGAGTTTCAGCAACATGTATATTTTATTTTCTTGTTCAGAATGTGTTGCTATGGCAAACAGGGCTTTATTTCCTTCCCCTGGATGGGGTTTCTCAGCTTTTCCTACTGTTTGCCCTGGTTTATCTCATTTGTAAAGAAATCAAAGCATTTGATTCAACAGATCTTTTTCTTCTCAAAGATTAAAACTTTTATTTTCATCTGGAACTTGGTCCCCACCGTGAAAAAGTTTTACTGAACTTCCTGCTCAGGAAAAAGTAGCATGTGCATGTAAAAAACTGGATTCTGTGAGAGATACAGGAGGGAAATAAGTGTTGCAGGTTTAAGTTATTTCTCTTTAGTTTTGTACCTCACCAGCCCATCATTTCTGACAGTGTGCCATAAACTTCCTTTTTGTTGCGCAGTTCAGCCCAAAAGAAGTGACTTGTGCTGTTCAGCTTAGTGAAAAACTCTAAATTTTTCAAAATTTTGCAGCATCAAACCACCAAAAAGCTTCATGAAGTTGGGTTGTCTCCATGGTGGCACAATGCAAAGCAGTGGAATTTGAGGCTTTTTATTTCATCTGCTTCAATATACAGAAAAGGGATGGTTGTAATTTTCTGTGCTTGTGATTTTCTGTGATTTTCTATAATTTCACAACCAGGTGTAGACATAATTTCCAAGCTGCCCAAGGTTATCAGTTGTATTTAGAGGACACATCCTGGAAGAATGGAAAGAGAATGGTGGAGGGATGAGAGCAGTTTGTTGGTAGATGAGAATAAGCCCCAGTATCTCTTGTTTATACTGAATATAAAACACCTGAAGCTCATCTGGGCTGGCCTGATGACCAGGAGCTGCCTAGAGAGTTGCCTAACCATGAGCAATAGGCTGCTAAACTGTGATTAAGCCTGACTGGATCATGATGTTCAAGGGCAGCAGTTCTTTTCAATCTCCTTGATTACCCATCTTTTTAAGCTACAGGAAGCATTCTGTTGAGAATAGTAAATTAGCCACCCTAAAAAATGTTGGGAGTCAAACCCAAAATTCATTTGCTTGCGGGTTTGCTACAAAAAAAGATTCTGCAGGGAGGAAGTAAAATGAAATTTAAACCGAGTTTAACATCCTGACATCACAAGCTGTTTGTACATCTCCTGATGAGCTGTTTGTGATCATGCAGCCACTCAAAGCAAATCGTTGGTCAGATTTCAACCTGCTCTTACTCAACTCAGTACTTTAAACATGTTATACTGTGAATGCAATGGAAACTTCTTATGCAATGTTGGTAAAACAGGGCAAACACTTCTTGGTTGACTCTAGTTGAGTATCTGGTCCTGTCTTCATTTCAGTAAAACATTCTCAGTGTTACATCAGGTTCCTTGTGAAAATTCAAAAGTACAAGATTAAAAAAAAATCCCCAAAAGAGAAATGCAGATTTTGAAAATTATTCTAAGAGTAATTAAGAAATATGGTTGTGCAGCAAGATGAAGGTCAGGATCTAAGTGTGGTGTTCTGCTCCTGGCTGCCCAAGGAGAACTGGCAAAAATTAGAGCTCTTGCTTTATCTCTGTGCTCTCAGCTTTCTACAGGTTTTCCTTTTTTTCTTTAGTTTTATTTTTTGCTATGTGTTCTTTACTGGCAGCTGGAACAGAAGGAGTGATGAAGGTTTTAGCCAGTTTCATTGAGATTTCTCTGCCTCGGGCAGTGTCAGGTGAATACTGAGGTCAGTTCAGTTGACCCTTCAACCATCCAAGGTGGGACTATTTTGGCCTCCTGCCGTTGTGCCAGCCAAGAAAAGTAACCACAAATATTAACTTTTCATAACTTTTCCAAGTATGGCTTGGAGAGGGGACCCTGCTGCCAGGGCCACTCACCTCTGCAATTTTTTTTTTTTCTGCGTGTGAGGGAATAAACACTTTTTTGACGTTAGGGGATGCACTTGGTGTGAGAAGAAACACTTTGGTGTAAGGGAATAAACACTATTTTGGTGTGAGGGGATGCACTTGGTGTGAGGGAATAAACACTGTTTTGGTGTGAGGGGATGCATTTGGTGTGAGGAGAAACACTTTGGTGTAAGGGAATAAACACTATTTTGGTGTGAGGGGATGCACTTGGTGTGAGGGAATAAACACTGTTTTGGTGTGAGGGGATGCATTTGGTGTGAGGAGAAACACTTTGGTGTAAGGGAATAAACACTATTTTGGTGTGAGGAGATGTACTTTTGATGTGAGGGAATGCTTTTTTGGGTGAGATGATGCTCATTGGGTGTGAGGGGATGTACTCGTTGCGAAAGAATCACTTTTGATGAGAGGGAACAAATACTCTGTGAGGGAAAGCACTTGATAAAGGAGAATCGCTTCGGTGTGAGGGAGTAAACACTATTTTGGCGTGAGGGGACGCTTTTTTGGGTGAGGCGATACTCTTTTTGAGGGGGTGTTCTCGGTGCGAAGGAATCCCTTTTGATGTGAAGGGCCACGCTTGCTGTGAGGGGACGCGCTTTTGACAGGGCCATGGGGACCACCCTGAGCACGGGAAATGCCCATCCCCACCCAGCACGGAGCTGCTCCCGCTGCTCCGGGGCTGTCACAGGCTCGGCGGCCGCCGAGGGCAGGCCCAGCCCGCCTCCGGGCCATGGCGGGGAGGCCGTGCCGGAAGGGGCCGCGCCGGGCCGGGCCGGGCTGGGCGGCGGCTCCGCGATCTCCGCCGCGATGCTGCCGCTGCTCCGCCGCGCTTGGGCGGCCGCCGTCACCTCCTCCTCCTCCTCGTCCTCCTCCTCACGGCGGGGTAGCCGCCGGTGCAGCCTCGGCGCCTGCTGCTCCTACCGCCTGCGAGACGCCCGTGAGTGCCGCTCTCCCTCAGCCCCCCTGCCCGCCCTGCCGCTGTCCCGCCATCGCTGCCAGCGCCCCGCGCTGCCCAACTTTGTGTGGGAAAGGGACGCCGAGCTCTGCCTGGCTTTGTCCCCGGCTGAAACATCAGGAAGTGACAGTGTTTGAAACACAGGGAGTGTTTTGTGCCGCCTTTGCCTGAGTTGACCTTACGGAGCTCCGCAGTTTGCGCCTCACTGAGGGGAAACCGGGGCGGGAGGGAAGTTTTTCGGCCACCTCTTGTGTGAGTGGTTTGAAGGTTTAATTTTTTTTTCAACTGCTCGTTTACAAGACCCTGAGCAGTCGTATTTAGTGAAGTAGCCTGTAAAGTGATGCTCGAAGCATCACGATTTGAGGCTGGGCAGAGGCACTGTGTGCGGGTCGCGGTGTGAACACAGGTGGCAGTTCTGGTTTTAAGCAGAATAAAGTCCTGTGGAAACCATTCATGTACCTGACCTGCTTGTGCCAGTTCGAGGGACCCAAGCTGCCCCAAAATTGCTGGGTTTGGGTTTGACAGGTGTGGGATCAGCAGGAGCCGTCTGCACGAAGCAGTTTGGTCAGGATCGGTGTGGTTAGGGTCAGCTCCTGTGCAGGAGCTCTGAACCCCCCTTTGTGGAGTAACCCCTGTGCTTGTGTTTTCTTCTAGAGAATGTTTTGCTTCCCAGTGGGAATTATCCCATGTCTGGAGCGCTCCCAGCTCAGCTGATGGTGCTGGTGTGAAAAGAAAGTTGTAAAACAAAGCTGCCTTAAAATCTGGCAATAATAGGAAAACATTCTCTCTTTCTGGCAGATGAGGGGACAATTTCTTTGCAGAGCATTCTGCAAAGGCAGAAGGTACTGACATGGTTCTAAGTCAAATTACTGCGCTTCCTTGTGTGGCTTTGAGTCATGCAGCTGGAATGTTTTATTTTTCTTTTGCTTTCCTGGGCACCAGCTGACTCGAATTAGCCTTTGGTGACACAGCACCTTCTCTTGCCAGAAAGTTCTGTATCCTGCATCAGCCTGACTCTGCCCCTCATCTTGCAGTGCATCCGCTGTGGCAGAGCCCGCTGACAATTCCCGGAGGCACCCGCCAGTCTCCCATCAACATCCAGTGGAGGGACAGTGTTTATGATCCCTTCCTGAAGCCTCTGAAAATCAGCTACGACCCCACCACCTGTCTTCACATCTGGAACAATGGCTACTCCTTCCTGGTGGAGTTTGATGATTCTACTGACAGATCAAGTAAGTAAAAACTCAGGGAAGAAAAAGAAGCTATTTAATGTCTCGTTAATGCAAGAGAGGAGAAATACTTGTGTGATGCAAGACCTGATGTTGAAAATGAAAGTAGAGTAAAAATGCTGGGTTTAAAGTGGTGGGAATCACGATGAAGAAATTCCATATAGGCTTCACATTTACAGTGTTTTTATTACCATGGGCATTGTGCTCAAATCCCCTGCTGTGTGTTGAAACTCCTTTCACAAGCCTCAGTGCCCTGCTGTAGGTTTTGTAATAAACTTTACTCACACAAGTCAATATGCAGTCATTTCTATGTGTACCTACTCAATTTGAAACCTGATTCCCTCACTGCTCTTTATTGAAGTAATCTGCCACTTATCTTTTGCGGTGTTAATAAAGATATTTACTGCACTTGAAAAAATCAGCAGCCAAATGAGTTGCAGTTGGAAAGCACACAGGCTTATCTCCGTGGGGTTTTAGGGAATGAAATAACACTGAGCTCTGCCCTCGGGAGCAGGTGTGTGTGTGTCCCTGTTGTTTTAGGGGAAGCAAGAGAGCATGGAAAATCCAACCATGCATTGCAGCAATTTCATGTGAATAAACCTCTGACCTGAGCAGCTCAACCTTTTTAAAGGCTCCATAGAGTAAAAAAATTGACTTAAGATCAAGATATTGCTCCCAAATCCCAGATTTTATGTCCACTGTTCCTTCTAAAAGCTGCCTTTTACCAAAGGCTATTGCAGAATATGAAGGTATTTCATAAGGGTGGGTGAGCTGCTAGCAATTGGTCAGAACTGTTGTGAAGTACAGGATTGCTCAGCTTGTCCTGCAGGGAAAAACTGAAGGACCCCGAGCAAGTTTGAACCTGTTGGATTGGAGTAATTTATGTTTAAAGTGCTCACCATGAGAGCTCCTCCAGCTTCCTGAGGGATTTAGCAATGCCCTTGGGGAGGGAGCCTCCAGCACACAAACAAACACTTTGTCTTCACAACACCAACATTTGTGGTTGATGTTTGGAACGGGGCTGATAAAACACTGCAGCAAAAAACGGTGGTGGTGGAATGCAGGGAGCTTGTGTGATGTTTGGGACTCATTTTGTTTTTCTTGTTTCTAGCTGTTCACTTGGAATATCATTTCCAAGAGGGAATAATCCATTTGGAATAGGGAATATCCTTGCCCTTGCTCATTTAAGCACTGATATCATGAAAGTGCTGTTTTTTTCAATGAGGTTGGGTTAGGGGACAGACATCACTTGTTACCTCATCAGTGATTTTAATTTGCTCACTTTAGATTGGCTTTGCTTTTCATTAAACAGCCTCTTGCTTTATAAGCCACACCCCACTATCTGTTGAGGATAAGATCCTGAAAAGTGCTTAGTGGAAAGAGGAATTGCCTGTAGGGGATTCAGAATTATGCAATATTTAATTGCACAGGCACAGTTTTTGTGCAATAAAGGCGCAAGGCTGGAATCACCAGGCCTTTGAGACTGGTGCTCACCTCTGGAAGATCTTACCTGCTTTTTCTGTGAGACTTTCCTTCAGGTAAATCTTTCCCTGTAAACTTTTGTTGCCTTCTCATCATCCTCATCTTCCTTAAATGAATTAAAGTCCATCAAGGGTAGGATGACATCAATCAGTCAGTGACAGAGGAGCAACAGACAGTGAGGTGTTGCTGTGTAACCCCCAGTTTTCAGGTGCCTGCCTCTCTCCTCCACCTTTCTCTCTTTCTGGTTTTTCTCACTGCCAGCTTCTGTCTAACAATCATAGAAATCCAGAGGAGAAAGCTTGGGAACAAACAAAAGCACCACATTCGAAACAGAAGATGAGAAAGACACCCAGGATAGACAGAAATGCCTGAATCCTGAGATGGGGTTTGCAAGACTTGGGCTAAAGCTGAAGGTAGAGCAGGAGGAAGAAGAGGGTGAGGGGAAGGTATGTACAGCATGTGGTCTGTCTGTCTGTGGTGCCACCAGAAACGAGGCTGAAACAGAGCCAGGGCTGCAAGAAACACCTGAAGTGGTTCTTATTGTTAGAGCCCCTTAAACTTCAGTTTTGTTTCGAAATTGTCAAGGTTGTAATTTGAGGAGAAATGCTTCCGAAAGGGACTGAAGTTCCTGTTTGTTTCCTGTCACTTTCTGGTGGCTGCTACAGGAACTTGAGTCTCTCCATATGTGTGTCTGTGCCTAAAGTTATTAGTGAGGCAAATACTCAAGTGGATGTCGTTAATAACACAAATTTTTAGTCATTTGTGAGTTTGCATCATCACATACACAGGAGTGGATCACGTTAGAACAGAAACTTCACTTCTGAGAGGCTTGGCTGTGTGACCCACATGTTTATCCCACCCCTTCTCCAGCACAGAATCCCAGCATGGTTTGGGTGGGAAGAACCTTAAAGCTGATCCCATCCCACCCCTGCCATGGGCAGGGACACCCTCCACTACCCCAGGCTGCTCCAAACCCTGTCCAGCCTGGCCTTGGGCACTTCCAGGGATGGGCATTGTGATTTCCCAGTGATGGTCAGCATTGCAATCATGCCCAGAGCTCAGCAGCAGGGGATGAAATTAATTCAATGTCACTTTGCACAGCTCCTTTTAATTTATTCCTTTTTCACAGACAGGCCTGTCTGGTTAGGATTTCAAACCTGCTGGCTGGCTTTCAGGAAAAAAAAAAAAAAAAACCAAGAAAATCTCTTAATGCCTCTCATTGTTTTCTCCTTAGCATGGAAGTGATTAACTTATTTCCAAATGCAGTGTTGGGATTAGGTGCTTTATACCAAAGTTTGCTGTAGAACTTTCCCATGTCCTACAGTTCAGTAAAAATCAGCAGATGCTGATGGTTTAGTGCTGGATGAACCCTTGGAAAAGCTCTTTTCCAACCTAAATGGTTCCCTGATTCCATAAGTGTTATTAGCCCTTGGGAAGCAATTAGGGTTTCTCATTTACCAGATGTTCTCATTTCATAATTAGCAAGATGACTTTGCAGGATGGTTTTGGTCCAGGTAGGAGGGAATGAGTGGAAGCCAAAAGCTGGGCATGGACTTCATTCATGTGTTTGCAGAAGGATGAGAGACCTTCTGAAATCAGGAGAGCAGACTGAACTTTTACCTTTACTCATTGATGAAAAGGGCATTAAATCTTCCAGAAACTTGCCCAGTGGCAGTCTGGATGTTTAAATCCTTCCTGAACAGCTTGTAGGCACAACAAAACATATTTCTGGCTGACCTTTGCTTGTGCAGTCTGGAAGCTGTGCTGAAGCAGAATAAGATGTTTGGATTTTTGTAGCTTTCAGGAGGTTTGAATGTTTGACTCAATATACTGATTTGTCTGGCAATATTTGCTTTTTGAAGTCTTGTCATGAGAAAGGTCAACATTTTTCACAGATCCTTGTAGGGATGTCATTGAATACATTTAATAGATGTGTCACCTGGTCAGGCAGCCCTGACACTCGTGCTCTGACAGAGGGGTGAGAACATGACACTCATCACTGTGACTGTGCCAAACTTGTTGTCAACTGGGAAAACATTCCCTCAGGGGAGATGGATGAGGAGACTTCACTCATCTCCCATTTGGTGCAGGGAAAACCACAATGTGTTTGCTTGATTGAGTGATTTGGTCATGGCAAAGTGTAGGTAGGCACTGTTTGAGTTGCTCCACCTGACACTTTATCATGGGCAAATTTTTTTCCGAGGATTTACTTGTCTGGCCAATTCTAAATCATATTTATTAACGTGTGTGTCTTGTTTTGTTTTCTAGTCATCGTTGGAGGCCCCTTGGAAAACCAGTACAGGCTAAAGCAGTTCCACTTCCACTGGGGAGCTGTCAATGACTGGGGCTCAGAGCACACAGTTGACTGTAAATTTTACCCAGCAGAGGTATGAGATGAAATCCTCAACAATGCAAATGTCTCAGGTGTCTGTGGAAACTCCCAAATTGAGGAGTTGCAGTTTATTTTGAAGCGCTACGGCTCATCTGCTGTTTTATTCTATAAAAATTAATCTCCACTGTGTTTTCTGGAGAAGAACAGCCTGAAAACTGGACATTGGCCCCATTGCTGAAAGTGCAAAATCACTTTGTTTATTGTTACTAAATTTTTCAGAGAAACAAACATATACTCTTAAAAACATCACTTTATTTTCTGTTTGCAGCTGATGAACAGTTACTAAAATAGCAAAACTTTGATGCTTAAGTAACTGCTAAGGAAGAAAACGTCAATAAAAAGGATTAAGTCAGTGAAAATGTGAAACTGCGACAGCTTTGACCACAGTTCTTTGCCAAAGGAGAAGAATTTGTCAAGTGATGATGGGTTATTTTTAAGGAGAGTTTCTCTCCTGTTGGTGTGTTCATGGTGATGCTGCCAGCTGGGCAAGATCCTCATTAACAGGGAGGCTGTGACTCAGTTTTTGGGCTGGGGTATTTATTTATCACACAAACCCCTCAATGTCTTGGCTGTCAGCAGTGCAGAGGAAGATTGTTGTATGCAGGATGTTTCTCAGGAGGACAGGGTGCTCTGCTCCTTCTGGGAAGAGAGGAAAGAGATGGAAGACTGAGCTTTGTCTGTGCCTTTGACCAGCATTCCTGGAGGCAGACTGCCACAGACAAAATCTCTTAAATGCAGTGGGTCTTAACTATTGTTTAAAGCAAAAGAGAAAAAAGGAAGGGAAGGACCATTATGCACCAAGAGCACTTTGTTCCTCATTTCTGTGGTTTCTGAGCAGCTCCCTGCAGTGCCTCACCCTGCCAAGGAGCAAGTGCAGCCAGGATCAGGAGCCAGGTGTGGTGTCTGTGCTCTGGGCAGGGGCTGATTTCTCCCTCACTCCTCTTTCAGCTGCATTTGGTGCACTGGAATGCTGTGGAGTACCCGAGTTTTGAGGAAGCTGTGATGGAAGGGAATGGCCTGGCTGTTATTGGAGTGTTCTTAAAGGTAATTTTGTTCTGTGGGACCAGCTGTGATGAGGCCTTTCGGTTTGCATTCTGTTAAAGGCAATTCAGGGTAATTAAGGGAAGGCTGAAAGGGGATCCCATCAATCCATATCAATGTTCCCAAGGGGTGTCAGAAGATGGTGCCAGGCTCTGTTCATTAGTGCCAGTGACAGGATGAGGAGCAATGGCCAGAAACTAAAAAAAGTTTCACCTCAATGTGAAGAACTTTCTGTTGAGGGTGGAACAGCTGCCCTGGGAGGATATGGAACCTCCCTGTCTGGAGACATTCCAAACCCACCTGGATGTGTTCCACCAGCTGCCCCTGCCTTGGGCTGGATGATCTCCAGAGATCTTCCAACCCTATATATCCTGTGATTGTTGTTATGAAAAAATACTAAGGCTGATAGGTAGAACTGATTGATTATTGATCAGCTTTTGATTCTCTAACTCCTCCCTGTCCCTGCAGCTGGGAGCACGGCACGAGGGGCTGCAGACCCTGGTGGATGCCCTGCCAGCAGTCAGACACAAGGTCAGTGCTCTGAGGTGTCCCACCCATTGTCACTCAGCAGGAAGAACACTTGGAGAACCACAAAAAACCCAGAAAAGCTTTCTTCCTTAAATTTTACCGGGGGGGCTGACTGACACCTTGGAAGTGGGAAGGGAAGCTGATTTTTCAGGAGGAATTGGATACTTGAAGCTTTCCAAACCTCTTGAAAAAATGCTGCTCTTGAGACTGTTTCCCTTACAAGGACATTCTTCAAGTGGGTGTTTATTTACTGTGGGATTAAGGCTTTTTGATTTGTGTCTGATCTTCGAGGAGGTTATTTGCTTTTTTATAAACACTGAATTTTCTGCGGGAGGGAATGGGATCGTTCCTGGCAGGCTCCTGCCAGGAGAGGGAGCGCTGAGTCTGACAGAAGCATGGACATTCCTCCTTCCCGTGCCCGTTCCCTTCTGAAAGTACTCTCAAAAAAACACATCGATCTCTTCAGCTTCTAATCTCATCCAGCTGAAGTCGCTGTGCCACTGCTTCTCACAGGAAGGAGTTCTTAAAATCCAAATAAAACAGGTTTTTATATCACAGCAGTGACAGCTCTGCCAGATAAACACCAAACATGTCAGTTCAGTGCCACAAGACCTCCCCAAATCTGAATGTACATCTATTGTGATAATATAATAATTTACAGCATGTGAATTTAAAAGAGATTTAGCCAAGATCCCCCCAGTATATCCTGAAACTCCTCTTGGAGCAGTGTTTGTATGTCAAATCCTGGGTTTTGAAGCTCCTACATTCTGATACCCCACATGTGAATGAACATTCTGGAGATGGGACTATTTGATTTAAATAAAACTTCAGTCCTCTTCCTGCTGCCTAAAATCACATGGTGAAAAGTAAAACACTTTTTGTTTGCAGTCTTTTAAGGATCTGACACAGCTACCTGAATTTATTCCACCACTTATTCCCTCTTTTTCCTGGTTGCATCCAGCTCCCACAAAGCCTTGGGCTGTTGAATCTTCTCACTCCTTGTTTCTCCTGCACTGAATTCCTAATGGCTTGTGGGGACAGCAGAAATGTTTCACTTCTGTCTGCTCAGGAGGTGCCCCTTACACCTCAACCCCAGTTTTACACACGTTTGAGGGATTTAAAATAATAAGATTATTAATATTCCCAACACCCCATTTCCCACGCACACACAACACAGAGTTTTTAACCTCACTGTCAAGATCTTTTTCAACTTTCTTCTGTTTTTTTTTCTCAAAACACCATCCTTAAACGTGTTTTTTTTCCTGCTATTTAGGACACTGTGATTGAGTTTGATGTCTTTGATCCCTCATGCCTGATCCCTTCCTGCCCTGATTACTGGACCTACGCTGGCTCCTTGACCACTCCCCCCCTCACTGAATCAGTCACATGGATCATTAAGAAGAAGCCAATCGAGGTGGATGAGGATCAGGTAAATCTCAATTTTCCTTTCAGATCACACCTCTTGCTGCCACAGAGATGCTCAGAACCAGTTGTTTACCAGCAATTCTCTGGGAAAAGACAAAAATTCTCAGTGTTTTCAGAGATCTGTGACTTTTTCAACCCAGGATTTGGGGAGGAATCCTGGCATTAACAGCCAGTAATACTGAAAGACCTAAGACCTCTCCAAGATGTTTTTCCAGCTTTATTTAACTTTTCCATCTATTCTCAAGAGTTTTATCTTGATCTGTGATACACAGTTCTGGAAGCTGCCTCTTGAAAACTTGGAGTTTTAGGAACTTATTGGAATTCTCATAATTTTGCTCTCTTTAGCATGATGCAGCCTTTTTTGCGGAGGGAAGGGAAAAAGGGAAGATTTTGTCAGATGGAGATTGTTAACAGAGAACTGCAGGCAATGTAGCATTCCTTTAAATTGAATTTTTTCTCTTTTTTTCTTGGCTCTTTACTCTCATAGCAGTGACTTACCATTGGAATGGCCTTGTGAGCATTAAAAGCTGATCTGCTGCTTTATTTTAATCCCAGTTATAAACCAGTGAGAGGAGAATAACTTGAGGGTTGTTGGGGTTCCCTCTTTTCTGGGTGCCAGGCAGGCTGTAAATGGAGGTTGAATGAAGTATTTGGGTGGCAATAGCTGTCTCAGGTGTGCCACATTTGGGATTTAATTTCCCTGAGGATAGCAGATGACTGATAATCCTTCCATGCTAGTGTGGATAACGGGACAATCTTTACCAGCAAACGTGGGTGCTAAAACCCCTCAGAACTCAAACCTAGCGCTACCTTTGATTTTACCCCCCTCTCCAAGAAGAAACTCTTGTCCTTTGCCACGAATTCCCCAAGTGGGGGATTCCTGGGCAGTGACCGGAGCGGCCATTTGTGGTTCCCAGCTGGAGGCCTTCCGGACGCTGCTGTTCACGTCGGACGGGGAGGAGGAGAGGAGGATGGTGGACAACTTCCGCCCGCTGCAGCCGCTGATGAACCGCACCGTGCGCTCGTCCTTCCGCCCCCAGCTCAGCCCCTAGCTGGCCCAGCACCCTCGGCATGTTCCAGCATTTCCCCTTCTTTCCGTGCCCTCCCACTGCCAGTGCTCCTTGGCTGTCCCTAGGGAAGCTGTGGGGGTTTTTAGTGCTGTTTTTTTTAAGACGTGAGGGATATTAACCCTTAATGAATTGACTTGTTCTGAGGCAGGGAGTCAAGAAGGAATTATTAAGACAGTTAAAAATAAGGGCAGGAGAGCTCGTCCCCTGCTCCTTCTCTGAATTGTTCTGTGTTTCTTCAGATGCTCTTTCAGTGCCTTGCATGAATTAATAATCCTGGGTAAAAATTGTTAAGAAGGAGGAAGTGGGAAGAAAAGAAAGATACAGGACTGCTGATATCAGTACAGGACTGATCAGGTCCTTTTGGGGAATTGTTTGATGTCTGGGAAGAGAGCTAGAAGGGAACCAGCTTGTCTCAGAGACATTTTGCCTTCTTCCTTTCTCCTTGGATGAGAGGAGAAGGACAAAGATGACTTCCAGGATCTCTTTCCATTCTGTTGCCTGCACATTCTATGTTTGATGTGGGTGCCACAGAATGCCCACTGTAAGGACACCAGGAGCCAGAAGACTTTTTCTAAAACCTCTTAACAACTGTAGAAGCTTTGGCAGCTTTTGTTTTCTGTGTTAATAATCTATCAGGAGAAGGGAGGAGATGAAAATTCACCAGTACCTCAAGATCAGCAAATTAAGTGAAAATGTTCAATTGATCCCAGGAAACTGATCACATCAAAGGAAAGCAAGATTAGATAAGGCCCAGCTGACCCTTCCAGTGGGATTAGGAGGGCAAAAACCCAAACCAATTCCTCAAATCAGTGCTAAGAGAGTGTGGACAAAACACAGCACTGAGAAAGGGCTTTTATTTCAGTAACTCAGAGAGCACCAGTGCTCTCTTCAAAGTTTTGCCTTGAGATGTATTCTCCTATAAAAACACTTGCCCAGCTTCAGGAGCAGTGGGGACCAGTTTCTTTTTATTGCACCTTGTGGTAACAAGGTCCAGTGGGGGTTAGAATTGATTTGTGGACCAAGCAGAGCTGCTGTGAGAGCTGCCAGCTCTGAGCCTTTCCCAGGAGCTGTGATCCAGCAGCCCCAGGGATCACTGACCTCTCACATCCTACTAAACCTAATTTTCTCTCAGGCACCTTTCTCTCTGGCCCTTTGTGCTCTGCTGTATTTAGCAGATTAAATTCCTGCCCCAGATTTCTGATGAGGAGCAGCTCTGCCTGTGTGATCTCCGTGGGTCCAGTCTCTTTCCTCCCTCTGATTCCTGGTGAGATTCAGTGAAGCCAGGACCTGGCTTGGCAATCCAGACCTTTCCAATTGGTACTTTGGTTTTTTTGAAGTCCAAGTATTCAGTTTCAAAGCACCTTAACACTTTTCAGTGTGACCCTGATGATTTTAAGCGTTTGAGATAATCTTGTTGAAGCAGTTGAGTGCCCAGATCCTGCCTTTCCTTCCTCAATAGCTCTACCTCAGGCTGTTGTTCTGGTGCCACAGTTGTGCCTTTGTCCCCTGCATTGTGGTCACTTCAATTGAGTGACTCTGGGTGCTGAAAGGAAGGAAATCTCCCTCCATCCTAGTGCAGGATATTTTTCCTGTTGGGAATTCAGCTCTTTGGTTTCAGCACTTCCCCCAAGCCCTCCCTGCCTGGGGGAACATTTCCATTTTGGTTGTGCTATCTCCCTTTGGATGAGGCTGGGATTATCCTGGGACAGTGGAAGGTGTCCCTGCCATGGCAGGGGTGGCACTGGATGAGCTTTCACATCCCTTCCCCCCAAACCATTCCATGATTTTCTGATTCCATGATCTCATTTGAACTCTGCAGGCTTTGCCGTCATCACACAGATTTTTAGCCACAAAACCACATGATGATTTTGCTGGAGAATGATACATTCCAAAACAAAGCTGGAAGGAATATCTACAGTTCTGGGAACAGGAAAAGAATTATTTTACTTTTTGCCTGAATATATAATAATTATGATCCTGTCATGAAGTTTGAGATATTTATTCAGTGCTGGTTTTGCAGACACTTTCTGAGGAGGACCCTGGAGTAAGATGGCAGCAACTTAGATATTTTCTACTCATTATTAGAAAAAAATTGTAGTACAAAGACATTTTAATGTTGCCTTTTATTTAAAACCAGAGCTGCCTCAGCAGCACTGGGCTGTAGGTGCATCAATCTCCTTATCATTTATGAATGAATCTTTTAAAAGCTTTTGTTTTAAAAGCTCAGTTTTTAAATTGCTTTTGTAATTTCCACTGAGATTTTGGATTTCCCTGATCCACTGAGAAAAATCACTAGTTGATCCAGCTTTCCTGACAAACCCAAAAACCAGATTATTTTAGGGAACTGCCAGGGTTTAACTGTTCAGCTTCAGCTGCTCTGGAACTCTATAGCAGCCTCACAGCCTCTGAGTTCTCCATGGTTTGCTCCACTCAATCAGATTTTCCTCCTGGATGTGTAAATCCCTTTTGAACCACCCTTCATCCATCAGAGGGAATGTGGGATATTCCCTTCCCAGTGATCCAGTTAAAGTTCTCAGAGAGATTTATTTAAAGTTCTCACAGAGATTTGCTTTGTTCAAGTATTGCCATGGAAGCTTTGTTAGAGAATAGTGAATTACTCAGTGATGCAGTTAAGCTGTGTCCATATTTCCATCAAATCACACCTATTTTTACTGACAGAAAATGAAGAAAGTCCAATTTCAGCACTGATCACTTCAAATACCTGGAAACAGGGTTAATGTAGATAAAAAATACTCTGCTACAAAAAAAAAAAAAAAAGTTTTATAGGGGTTTTACATTTATTTTGCTGTTACTTCTTTGAGCCCTGCATTTATGTGTAGTGTTTTAGCATCTCCTAAAGGCAGGCAGGAGCTCAGCTACAGGGCAGATTGCTGGAATTAATCTGGAAATGAACACACTAAGGTTTGTTTGTTTGTTTTCCAGTTCTAACTTTCCTGTTACAATGACTTTATTTACCTTGTGAATGTAAACTTTAGGAAAATAATTGTGTTTAAATCAAGAGATGGGATAGAATTCCTGTGCCTTATTCTCTCAGATCTGTGTGGAAAAATTATTTGATTGTTGGGTTAGAGCTGATTATGCACAATTAAGTTAAAAAGGAATCTTTGGGCTCTTTTGGGTGGCACAATACAAAAGGGCCAAAGCACATATTTGTATTTTCCTTGCATAAGAGTCACTTTATTAGTAAATACTGCCCTGGGAGGCATTCCTGGGGCAGCAAGTCCCAGGAATTAAAGACTGTCACAGGAATGATTCTGGGACAACTCCCTGCAAAGGCAGGAGGAGGTTTGGAGGTCTGTGCTGGTCTGACTCCAGCTGCCTTTCAGGATTCCTCTGAAATGCTGCTCTCACCTCATCCTGGGTGACTTCACAGTGGGGACAACTTCCTCTGGTGTTGGAATGCTTGATCCCTGCTCCTGCATTCCAGAACTTTCACTCTTCACATGTTCCTGGCCACTTTTGTGCTGCCTTTTCTGTCAGGGATGACAGGAGGGTCTCCCCTGGCTTTGGAAGCTGCAGAATTGGAGTTTGCTTTTATCTCCACAGGGTTTTAGAGGACTGGAATTCTGCTTTGGATGAAGGGTCTCCTCATGCCTTAATTTGGGATGTTTTAACTTGTATTTCTTGGCACATCTTGGCTTTTTTTTTTTTTTTCCTTTGTGCATCTCTTTGTTTTTGTGGCCTTTATGATGTTGTGTATTTAATGTGTGTTACCTGCCTGGCCATAACTGAAATCACTGTCTGCAGACAACACCTGGAACAGGGAATGTTTTATGTTTTCCTGGGATACAGGCCCTTCCCCAGAGTTTTTCCCTGATGTATAGAACCCTTCAGCTGCTGCATTTTACATTGTTAGTGTGCAACTACAATAAAGGAACAGAGAAACCCATGCCTGTATCTCGTTGTGTAATTAAGCTTTTCAAGTTAAAAAAAAAAAATCAGATTTCCTATCAGAAAAGATTAGAACTCCTCTTTGGGAATGCCCCAGTTCATTAGGAGCAGAGTCTGATCAGCTGTCAGATGTTCTGTGATACTTCCAAGCTCTGAAAGACTCTGCTGAGCTGTGTTAGAATGAAAGCACAAAGAGCTCTCTGTGCTGCTGCAGGGTATCCCATGATTGATCACACCCAGCCAGATGCCACAGGCCATCGCATTCCAGGCTTCCAGGACCTTTCCTGAACTCCTTCACTGGACACTGCCCATTGAGCTGGACCTGTCAGCTGAGCTCCTTCCTCTGTCCTGTCATGAAACTGAGCCTTGAGCTGTGTGCTGTGACTCAGCTGGTGCTTGTGGCTACAAAAATGCTATCAAATAACCCTAAAAAACCCTTTAAGTCGATTAAATTACTGATACAAATTAAAAGTTGATCTAAGAGAGTGGGTTTAGGTTAGATCTTGGGAAGGAATTGTTCCCTGTCAGGGTGGGAGGCCCTCACTCTGTGCCCAGAGCAGCTGTGGCTGCTCCATCCCTGGCAGTGCCCAAGGCCAGGCTGGACAGGGCTTGCAGCACCCTGGGACAGTGGAAGGTGTCAGGGTTGGAGCTGGATGAGCTTCAATGTCCCTTCATCCCAAAGCGTCCCATGATTCCATGAACTTTGGGTGAAATAAGTGTTAATTTGTCTCACAGCTGAACCACGCTTGGAGTCCAGCTGTCACCCAGACAGGTTTTGTTTAGCTGGATTCATTCAAAGAAGTTTCTTTTGCTAAGAAAAACAGGAGATGCCATTCCTGGTTAAGGAAACCCTCTAAAATAATTGTAGGTTATGTTTCTAGAAGGTTCCCCAAGTGTGCTGGTGGGTGGGGAGCCCATTTTCTTCTGGAGAGAGAGTGGCCTGGGTTAGGCGTGAGGCCAGCTCTGCTCTTGTGACCATTTAATGGTTCTAGAAGCTGCCACCGCTTCCATTTACGCAGGAAAAGCAGCTCTGAGGTCTTTATCAGCACAGCTGAGGTTTTGCTGAAGAAATGGGGGATTTATGCCAGCAGGATCAAGGCAGTTTTTCCAAATAAGTGGTTCAAAACATCCCCATCCCTCCTCACAAATGGCCCATTTGCTCCTGCTCCTGCTCATTGTTTGTGCTTCTGACAAATCCTTCCTTCCCTCCTCCTTTTTGATGTGCCAAACTCTGAGTGTTAGCACATGGAGAGCTGATTGGATAATCAAATAGTCTTCAAAGATCCTGCGGAAGAACTCGGGGGCCTGAGGAGAGGTAATGCTCAGGGACGGGCTGATAACAACACCGCCATTGGCAGGTGCTTTGAAGATATCGGCTCTGGGAACACACCCCAGTGCCAGGCTGGTGTTTTCTCAGGAATACAAATGGAAAAACAGTTGCAGAATGAACCCCATGCAATAATTTGCAATAGAGTCAAGCACGAGGTTGGCTTGGAACAGGGCAGTTCAGTGGCTGCCGTCCCATGGCCTCTGGAGCCTGGCATTTCCAGTCCTCAGCTGTGAGTCCAGGAAGAAATTCCCCTTTGGAAGAATTAGAACAACATAACTCTGTCCCATTCCCGTGGGAGTTCACGGAAATGTCTGTGTGGGTTCATATCAGGTGTAAAATGCCCATGGTGGGATTCTTGGGGCCAGGAATTGGACTTGATCCCTGTGGGTCTCTTCCAGCTCAGGACATCCTGGTTCTAGGTCATTATTTGCCTTAAGGAGCTTGGCCTGGAGCACTGGAGAAGTAAATCCTTTGATAAATTATTTTATTCCCCCAAATATATAACTGAGTTTGAGTATTCATCTGGAAACAACTGAAGCAAATACTTAATTTCAATCCCTGTCCTGTTTGCTGTATCCTGATGTAACAAGGCTGACACAGGGATAATCCCATTTGTTGTAAGTATCTGGTTCTTTTCCTAATTTCACGGTCCTGGGATAAATCATGAAATGCAGTAACAAAAATGGCCTGTAATGGTAAACATGTAAAGTAAAAAAAGGCTTTTGAGGTTACAGAAAACCTGTGATAAATGTTTTGTTGCTTATTTTTAATTAATTGTCAGAGTCTTTTCAGTCTCTTCAGGATCCCATTTCTCCTTGAAAACTGGAGGAACGTGCTTAGTGCCAAGGTAATTTCTGTTTTTGCTCTCTTCTAGAATTTGGATGTTTACCTGAAGTCAGCAGCAGATTTTTGAGCCCCTGAGCAGCCACTAGATGTCAGGTTTGGACTAGTGCTCCAAGGGTTGGGCTGGTTGGGACTCTGGAATGGCTGGAAGTGGTCATGATGGAAATGAAATGTAACTGAAATGTGCCCTTTCCCCCCAGGATGTCCATCTCACGTTTCCCTGGAATTCTCTTGGAGAAAACCTTCCAGCCCACCTCCTGCCTGTCTGAACTGTGCTCAGAGGGGGCTCCAGGAGGATGAACCAGCCTTGGGTTTGGAGCTCGGGCAGCACTGCCTGGGAGGCAGCTCCTCACAGGTACCACTTCCACCCTCAGAGGGAATGTTTGGAATCAGAGCTTCCAGGCTGGAGCCTCTGAGCTCCTCTCCTCCCACCAGGGCAAGAGGGAATCTGAGTTTGCTGAGGGATTGGCTCCTTGGGCATTACTGTAGTATCCCAGTGATTCTCCTTGGATGCAGAACCTCTGCCTTCAGTGAGGCACACATTGCCTTTTTTGCCTGCACGACTGCCAGATGACTGAATTATTTTATATTTTCGTTTCACAAACAAGCATTTTGGTGACTTTGCCATCTGTCAAATTTGAGATTGGTGACTCATTAATGTTTCAGAGAAGCCTTTTTGGCGATTTTGGTGTCTGCCAGGAGGGGCTGATTCCCGCAGCGCCTCTGCAGAGGTGCAGGTGATGCAGCACCGGGGCCTTGCCCTGTGCTTGTGAACTGGGATGGAAAAGTACAGCAGGATGGGGCTGGGGGAGCTGGGAGAGGCAGGATATACATACATACACATCTGTATATCATACATACACGTGTGTATATCCTGTATATCATACATACATTTGTGTGTATCCTGTATATCATACATACACGTGTGTATGTCCTGTATATCATACATACACATCTGTATATCATACATACACATGTGTATATCCTGTATATCATACATACACGTGTGTATATCCTGTATATCATACATACACATGTGTATATCCTGTATATCATACATACACGTCTGTATATCCTGTATATCATACATACACGTGTGTATATCCTGTATATCGTACATACACGTGTGTATGTCCTGTATAACGTGTGTATATCCTGTATATCATACATACATTTGTGTGTATCCTGTATATCATACATACACGTGTGTATGTCCTGTATATCATACATACACATCTGTATATCATACATACACATGTGTATATCCTGTATATCATACATACACGTGTGTATATCCTGTATATCATACATACATTTGTGTGTATCCTGTATATCATACATACACGTGTGTATGTCCTGTATATCATACATACACATCTGTATATCATACATACACATGTGTATATCCTGTATATCATACATACACGTGTGTATATCCTGTATATCATACATACATTTGTGTGTATCCTGTATATCATACATACACGTGTGTATGTCCTGTATATCATACATACACATCTGTATATCATACATACACATGTGTATATCCTGTATATCATACATACACGTGTGTATATCCTGTATATCATACATACATTTGTGTGTATCCTGTATATCATACATACACGTGTGTATGTCCTGTATATCATACATACACATCTGTATATCATACATACACATGTGTATATCCTGTATATCATACATACACGTGTGTATATCCTGTATATCATACATACATTTGTGTGTATCCTGTATATCATACATACACGTGTGTATGTCCTGTATATCATACATACACATCTGTATATCATACATACACATGTGTATATCCTGTATATCATACATACACGTGTGTATATCCTGTATATCATACATACATTTGTGTGTATCCTGTATATCATACATACACGTGTGTATGTCCTGTATATCATACATACACATCTGTATATCATACATACACATGTGTATATCCTGTATATCATACATACACGTGTGTATATCCTGTATATCATACATACACGTGTGTATATCCTGTATATCATACATACATGTGTGTATGTCCTGTATATCATACATACACATCTGTATATCATACATACACATGTGTATATCCTGTATATCATACATACCATACATACACATCTGTATATCATACATACACATGTGTATATCCTGTATATCATACATACACGTGTGTATATCCTATATATCATACATACACATGTGTATATCCTGTATATCATACATACACGTCTGTATATCCTGTATATCATACATACACGTGTGTATATCCTGTATATCGTACATACACGTGTGTATGTCCTGTATATCATACATACATGTGTGTATACATGTATACATACACAAGGACCCGCTCTCCTTTACAGGAACTCCTTTACAGAGCACACCGAACGCACAGCGCCCATGCAGGGCGGAGAAGCGCCCCTAACACCCCTCCCGTGCGGGCACCGAGTGCCACCCGGGGCCGAGCTGCGGGGTGGCACTTGCCTCCTTCTGTCCCCTTTTGGGGCTCGGTCGGAGGGGCCCGTGCTGAGAGCCATGCGGGGCTGAGCGGGCACCCAGCGGCTGCCGCGCACCCCGGGGGCGCTGCAGCATCCCCCGCCGCTCCTGCCCTCCTCCTGCCGCTCTCCTCCTCCTCCTCCTCCCCCCGGAAAGCAGCCCGGCCCACCGCCGCCGGAACAAAAGGGGCGGCCGAAGGTGGCGGCGTGGCCGCGCCCGCTGCTCCCGCCGCTCCGCCACCATGTCCGCCAGCGGCGGCAGCTCCCCCGGCAATGCCGTGAAGAAGCGGAGCCCCGCCGGCTCGGCCGCCTCGCTGGCGCAGGAGGACGAGAAGCAGGCGAGGGAGAAGATGCTGGAAGGGGCGCAGGAAAACGGCTGTGCCCGCTCGCCATCGCCCTGCGGCTCGGCGGAGGGGGTGACCCTGAAGCGGAACATCACCCTGCTGAACGGCGTGGCCATCATCGTGGGCACCATCATCGGCTCCGGCATCTTCGTCACCCCCACGGGCGTGCTGCGGGAGGCCGGCTCGCCGGGGCTCTCGCTCGTGGTCTGGGCCGTGTGCGGCGCCTTCTCCATCGTGGGCGCTCTGTGCTACGCCGAGCTCGGCACCACCATCACCAAGTCCGGCGGGGACTACGCCTACATGCTGGAGGTGTACGGCTCCCTGCCCGCCTTCCTCAAGCTCTGGATAGAGCTGCTCATCATCCGGCCCTCCTCGCAGTACATCGTGGCTCTGGTGTTCGCCACCTACCTGCTCAAGCCCATCTTCCCCACCTGCCCCGTGCCCGACGAGGCTGCCAAGCTGGTGGCCTGTCTGTGTGTCCGTAAGTAGCGGCTCGTGGCGTTCGGCTGACAGGCACGAGGGGTAGATGGGGTTTAGGGAAGGAATTCCTCCCTGGGAAGGTGGGGAGGCCCTGGCACACGGTGCTCAGAGAAGCTGTCCTGCCCCCGGGTCCCTGAAGTGTCCAGCTTGGAGCATCCTGGTCTAGTGGAAGGTGTCCCTGCCCATGGGACGGGATGACCTTTAAATTGCCTTCCCACCCGAGCCATTCCATGACTCAGTGACCCTCTGCAGGTCCCCGCTGTCCTACTCCACGTGGTTCCTCACTCCCCATCACTTTCCCCTAAAGATCTGCACCATCTCTCCTGCGCTACGCTGGCTGCATCCTGGGGGTTTTTTGGCTACTTTGAATAGCCACAGCAGAAAATGTGGCTCCATCCGTAATAAATTGAGCAGAAAATTGCCCAAACCCCAGCTGTGGGCTAGTGAGGCTCCCTGATTCCCGAGCAGTATGTGATAAATGCAGCGTGCGTTTTTCCCGGGAGCTGGAATAGGATTTCTTGTGCTTTCCCACAGGACCATGCAGGGTAAAACCCCCTGGTTCCCAGGCTCTGCAGGGCCGGTGGACGTTGGTGTGCGGCTTTGGGTGAGGATAACAATTATCTGTCACCAGCAACTGGTGCTGAACACGCCCCTGAGCTGAGCTGCTTTCAGCACCAGTTGTGACAGGAGGTATTTCCCGGCCGTGTGCGCGCTGATACCGCGCTCAAAACCTGATGTTGTGGGGTTTCTTTTTGCAGCAAACTGTCTGTCTGTCTGTCTGTCTCTGGGGCGGTGCCTTGCAGAGAAGTTCGGTCACGATGGGGTGAATTCAGGGCCGGGGATGCCAACCTGGGCACACATATCTCTTCTGATGCACTTTTTATCACCTCTCTGCTCTTTTGGGGTCTGCAGTTTTGCCATTCAAATCCTATTTTCATCCTATTTGCTGTTTCTTTGATGACTGCAAAGTCACCCCATCCAAATTCCCGATACAGGACCATGCCCTGCCTTTTCCCTCCTCATTTCCCATTCAATCTGTTCTGCTCCACTGGAATTTAATGCCATTATAAAGATGTTTTTTGGGAGAAGATATAATTTTTGTGAGAGCTTTATGAATCATTTATCCACTGTACAAAATCACAGCCAGGTGGTCTCTACATTTTTGCATTTTGAGTGATGAGGAGGAAGCTGCTCGTTGGTGCTGCCCTTTCCTGGGATTGTGTGAGATTCCTTCCCCCCCCCGAGGATCTCAGGCATCCCAAAGCTGCAGTACATGGTCGTTATGGGAAGATATATTGTCTGGAAATGTCTCAGAGCCAGCCTGACCCGGGCTTTGGGAGGTAAATTATATGGCTAATTATAGGATAGATAACAGGCATGGCACGGGGTTGTGCTTTCTTCAGGCAAGATTGAAACTTCTCAGTCCCCAGCTGAATTTTTAGGAATATAAAGGTACCTGGGCAGGCATGTGGATTTCCATCCAAATTTTTTACAGTGTGGAGAGTGTTTATTAGGGAAATCTAACAATTTTTTTTAACTAAGAAAGCTGTAAGGTGGTCAGGGAATAGTCCTGCTGATGGGTGTATTGCCTTTTGGAAATTTGATTTTCAAGCTTTGCTGCCAGTCTGCACTGTGCTTTCCTCAGGAGAGGGACTGGGATGCACGTGGCATTTGTGTTCCTTGCTGAAAAACCAAGGAATTAGGATATAATTTAAGGTTTTCTTGCTGTCTTATGGCAAAGTTTTGCCGTGCAAGCACAGATGGAGGAGGCAAAGCCTTTGAGGATGTGTTTCTAACCAAAAGTGACTTTTCATCTTCAGGATCATTCCCAAAACGGGTCTCTGTTCCCAGGGCAGGGCTAAACAGACCTGCCCACCTTGGGATCTGTTCGCTGGTGGGGATTTGCAGCACGAAACTCCTTGGAGCCAGCTCTCATTCCTGTTCTTGCTCCTCCAAGGAAAGTCTCCAGCCTTCCTTTGGTAGCAATTAGGGTTTCCCTGGGGCAGAATTTGTTCTTGAACCTTTCTCCTGAGCTGCCAGGGGAAGGGTTTGGAGTTCTTCAAATCTGCATCATCCCCATGTGTTTCTCCTTTAAGCTCTGTTTCCCCTTGCACTGCTGGCTCTTGGTTTGTTTATGCTTTGGGTTAAGTTTGGGGTTGTCTCCTTTGCTCCAGGAGGTTTCTTCATCCTGCAGCGCCTTCAGCAGGGCAGCTTTTGGGAACTTTGATTTTTGGAACTTTGAGTTTTGGAATCAGCTTTTCATCTCCCCGGTGCCAAAACCACACCGTGACCCAGGAACAATAAATGAAATAAATCTGCTCCAAGGGCTCAGGCAGCCACACAACACTTGTGGGGACTCACAAACAGCTTTGTTCAAACAGAAACTGCCCAGAGAGAGACTTTTTATTCTTTTCAAAAGCTCTGGAGTAGAAAAAAAATGACCTATTTGTGCGTAGGCTGTAGCACATACATGAATGAGTTACCTCAAAATGGGGAGAGCAGCTTGGGAAGCAGCAGAGGAATTTGGGACCTGGGGCTGGAGTACAGTAGCCAAAATCCGGCCTTGCAGAACAGTCCCAGCTCTATTCCTTGCAAAGTTTGTATCTCCACACAAAATGCACTTGGCTGCACAGTTTGTAGTAAGAGGAGGAATAACTGAAGTTATTTGTTTCTACTCTGCTGCTGCTGAAGGGTTGAATAAATCATGTGTTGTTCAGAATTTGCCACCATGAACTTCAGAGAGTGAATTAATGCATTAAGAGAATCTAAATCGCAGCCTTGAGTGAAAGGAAAAAATTGTTGGAAGAGGGAATTTTGTTCCCCTGGAAGGTGCTGAGGAAAACAAGGTGGGTGGTAAGGAGAATTTACCTACAAATGGGTATTTTCTGCCCTGGAGGTTGTAATCTACACACAGTTGGTGTGCAGGGCTTCTTTCATGGGCACCGGGAGTGCCTGTGGTGTTTGCCACAAATAAAAGCTGGGAATCCACTCCAGGGAAGTCTTCCTGGAGCAGGAGGGGTCAGGCTGTTCATCCTTAGCCTGCCTCATTTCATATTCCCCAAAAATTTGGCTGAAGACTTTGCAGGCTGCAGGTTACTTGGGTGATTCAGAAACTTGAGCATCTCTTTTAGCTGTGAGGTTGGATGGTTGATACTTTAAAAGTCATAACACAAAATCCATCTGTGTTTGGTACACGAAAATTGGAAGTTCAGGAAACAGAGTTTGTGCATTTGTGTGAAAACCCAGGAATAATTTGAATTCTTTCACTTCTGAGCTCATCCCAACCAATTTACCCCTTCTGTAGGGGGAACAGAGTTTGTGCATTTGTGTGAAAACCCAGGAATAATTTGAATTCTCTCACTTCTGAGTTAATCTCTAAACCAATTTACCCCTTCTGTCGTGGTTGGAGGGACAGTTATTAGGTGCTGAATTTGCATATTCAATGATCTACATTACAGTGTCAATATTTGACATGGCAAAGAATTCAACTTTGGATTGTGTGCTGTGTCTCAGGTGTGAGTGGCTCAGGTTTTCTTTCCATCCTGCTGCCACTTTCATGAACATTTTTTCAATTTCAAGCTGATAAATCCTAACAAAAATCAGTAAAAATCACCAGTGCCCCCTGTGTGTTCCAGAGAGGACTCAGGGATGGAAAGTGTTAAACTGATTCATTAAAGATGCTGTGGCTGTTCCTCATTTCCCACTGTTAATTTGCAGATTTCCTGCTTGCACAGAGGCACCTTCCCAGGTCTGGGTTGTGGTGCAGTAAATCCATTCCCTGTGCACAGGGAGACAGGAATGAGGCTGCTGCCAGCTCTGAGCTGGTTCTTGGTGTTCCACAAGTGCCTGAGCTGTTCATCCCACACATCCTCACACCTTGAGAGCCACACACAGCTTCTAGAATTCCCTGATTTCCTGACAAGAAAATATGCTCCACAGTGGAAAACTGGGATTGGACTCGGTAATTAATCCTTATGGATGCTTTCCAGCTCAGGATATTCTGTTGTTTTAATTTTGTTCTTGCTCCTCACTGTCAGATCAGCAGATTGACAGTTTGCTTCTGAATTTGTGTCTCACTTAGAGACATTTAATTAGATATGCAAATCTGGCACTAATAACCCCAGCACAGCAATATCAAAGCCAGGGAATTTTAATCTTCCTCAAAATTTATCTAAACTTCCTTCACTGCTTCTGGGCTCTGCTGTTGGGCATTCCTCCTGCAGGGCTGGAATTGCAGGGAATGCTGATGAACTCCTCATTTGTCTCTTCTGTTCTGAGCAGCCAGAGAGTGGAAGGATGAGCAGGAGGCAGGTCTGAGAGCCCTTGTCCTGTGGAAGTGCCTGATGCTCCTGAGAGAAGGAATCCAAGCAAGGGTAGCTGCCAGGTTGTCCAGGAGTGAATATCCAGTGTCAGCTTTCCACCCAGAACCCACAGATCCTGTGGGATGCAGGAGTGTCTTTATTTGACACCAAGGTTTTGCTGCCAGGCTCAGCTCTTTTACAGGTGTGTGGATTTTCACCTCATCAGATATTAACTGGTGAAGAGCAAACACAAAACACACCCAGGGCCTGTCTGCCTGAGGTGGGTTCGTTCTGCAGCATTGCTGCTTTTAATTAATCAGCCAGGACAAGCTGGGTGTGAAGCTTTGAAGATTTATTCTTCCTCCTCCAGAAAGGTGGATTAAGGGACTAAAGCTCCATCAGCAAATTGCCCTTGTTGGAGTGGAGTGGAAGGAAGGGGTCTGTGGAATCCCTGCTGGATGGCAGAGGCTGCAAGGCTGAGGTTGCTTTTTTAATCTGTGTTTAATTAGAGCAGCATTAATGAAAACAGGCTCTGACACTCGCAGGACTCTCCAGAAATCAATGAGAGCTTGGAGGGCTCTTGAAACATGCAGGGAGCAGCCACTGCAATTCCAGCCCCCCTCTCCTGGCTCTCACAACAATTATCCCATTAAATGTTACTGTGTTTGAATGATTTATGTTATCACTGAGATCCTTCTGA